ATAAATAATCGAATACAACAAAATTAAGCGATAAACATGTCATATCTTACAGCGATGTACCTTTTCATATTTTATAGTGATGTACCTTGTATGACGATGTAACATGTCACGTCTTATGGCGATGTACCTTGTCATATCTTATGGTGATATACCTTGTCATATCTTATGGTGATGTACCTTGTCATATCTTATTGTGATGTACCATGTCATATCTTATGGCGATGTACAATGTCATATCTTATGGCGATGTACCATGTCATATCTTACGGTGATGTACCTTTTCATATCTTATGACGATGTACCTTGTTATGACGATGTAACATGTCATATCTTATGGAATGTAACCTTGTCATATCTTATGGTTTGATGTAACCTTGTCATATATTATGGCGATGTATTTATTCTCATTGAATACGGGTTTGTGTGTGCGTTTTTATCGACCCTATGAGATCGGTTAAGGGCTTATGGACTAATAATAATTACTGAGCATATATGACCTGTATATATAATACAATATATAATAAATATGATGATACTGTAGAATACTTAATTTTCGTTGTTTTCACTGAAGGGGTGATTCAGTGAAAATAAAATCCACCGAATATACCTTTTTTCCCTATGTTTTACATTAAATTCAGCAATAATCAATGAAATTAAACTCCATACTAAATACGCAAAAAATCTTTCCAGCGTAAATTAATTTCAGCTGAAATAAACTATTTCACAGTATGTGAATTATGACATTATTAGAGTAAGTTATGTAGTGTATCATGTTATTCGAACTCTCAAATATAATATCACATGATTAAGATAACCACACATTGCGAAGTGTTTAATTAAAAACAATATCATCTTCATGTTTGGTGGACATGGTTGCCAATGATGTCTCACATCAGGTCATAGTAATATAGAGATGTATTATACTTACGAAATTAATGTCTACCATTCTCTCCCATTCATATTCGTTGCAAATACCAGCATTGCAGATTAAAATATCCACTCTCCCAAATGTTGTCTTTGTTTGTCTGAAAACATCTGTGAATTATGCAATTAATATACAGACAGACAGACAGACAGACAGACAGACAGACAGACAGAAAGACAGACAGACAGAAAGACAGAAATACAGAAAGACAGACAGCGTACCTTCCATTTGTGACTTCAAAGTGACATCAGCATACATAAATGTGACTCTTTTTTGGTCGTATTGCTGGCTGAACTCATTGACAGTTTCTTGACCTTTCTGCTCATGCACATCAGTAATTGTAACACCCTGTTAAAGCAAAAGAACAGACACATTTGTTTATTTTTATTGTGCATTATCAACACGGAAACATTCCTGTGTTCAGAAGGTCCTATGTTCAGAATTTATTCTGATGTAGGTAGACTTGGAAATATGTGTTTTCATATAATGGTCAATATTTCTCTCAGCAAAAACAATGGTAAGCAAACATTCCATGTACACTGTTCCCCACAAATCGCGATGAGTCGTCTGGTAACTGACTGACATGTTGTTGTTTTTATCGAATCAATGAAATAAAAACATTGTTTTTGTGGGGAGCACGTCATGACCCCCATGCACTAACAGTCGTGTAAAACATTATACATAATCCCAGAAAACATACGTGCGCTTTATGCATTTTTCTTAAATTATGCTAATTTATTCATGACATGCTCATAAATGTTCATTAATTTGTGGACGAATACATTCTAGAAGGGGCGATATATTATTTTGGTATTAAGAAAGGGGGAATCAGCAAAATTTAGGGGTCAATACAAACGAAGGGATCCAATTTGGTAGCAGCAATTATTCCTGTGTCCATTGGTCGTGTGCATGTGATTTGCAGATGTTCGTATTCCGATTTTCTTTGACTTGCTTCTATTGGAGGCAGTATTTACTTGTGTTGATTATGTTAAAGTTTGAGTTTCTAATATATTGTAAATGTCTTTAACATATTTCATATCTTCTGTAGGAGTTTCCAACACTGTCATCCGTATCACGAGGATTTGTATGCAACTGTATAAATCCATTGAACCATGTTTGGTAGTCATAGGACATCCTGATAAACTGCCAAGTGTCCCACAAGACAATGACAAGAATATATATATGAAGATATACTACATTACTCAATTATTTAGTCAATATTACTGTCAATTTGGCGTTTTCTGCTTGTCTAAACTATATGTATGTCATAACCCGTTAGTTTACATCTTAGTTATGAACCAATATGGTGTTTGCCATTTGTGTTTACCATACTTGACCCGACCCGACCCTAATTCTAATGCTAAGGCACATTCCTGTTGATATAGTGACTTGTCTCATCCCATGGAGATAATTTTAGATCACCAATCTTAGTAAATGTCTGCTGGTAAGCTGGAATAATGTAAAATAATTAAACAAGTGGCAGTGAAACATAATTTTTTCTCAACAACACGACCATTTTGCAACGACGTGCGTGACCCTTGGCGTGACTCGACTGACTATATGATCGTTCGGTTTAACTGTTAAGCTAGGATTTATTACCGTTATTATCATTATATTATGACGCGATTTGTTCCAACTTACCAGTAAGGTCGTATGTATCTTTATTGTTATTTGTATGTACAAATTCGTATATTCCCAACAAACGACCCCGATTGAGGGGGGGCATTATTTTATGACGTCACCATCCGTGTGCAGTTAAGGCTTCTGGAATTGTTCCAACAATTCACATTTTATCGGTAATAGTAATCCGTAACTTGAACCAGAACCTGTAACCTGCATTTTGTACCACTGGATAAACACAAGTGTTAGAACTTACCCTGGCCCCTTTCTTCAGTAAACATTCGGTGACAGCACGTCCAATTCCCTGAGCACCACCAGTGACTATAGCAACTTTACCAGAAATATCCATGACT